AAAGCTGCCCTAGCTACCTGAAGGATCTGAAAGAAAGAAGAATCAAAAAGTTTGACTCTGCTTCAGGTAAGTCCACTATCTAACTCTGTTAAGTTCCCAGTTGATGATTCTTAATACAAAATGTGACTCGGTTACATTTTGATGTATGGCAGGATCAAGCAAAGGGAAGGAAACTTAAAGAAAGAGTATGTTGAATCTGATCGCGAAGATGGATTTCTATCGCATGGTCGAAGATCGGATTTTTGAGCTACTACTTAGGAGTTATGATAGGTTGCTAGGAAACCTGTAATAGCATAGTTTTCATTTCAAGTTGCATTGTAAGGAAAAGTTTTTCCGCATTCTATAAATAAATAAAATTTTGTTTTACTTTATTTTATATTTCCTTGCAATGGCATTTATGAAAACTTGATGTTTGTATGTTTCTAGCAATATTGGAAATATGAATTTGATTCTCTCATTTGTGGTAGTGTCTAATTTACCAAATAAGGAAAGATTTTCATCACCCAAGTTTCAATTGGACCAAAACTTGGAATCATGCAAGTTCTATAGTATGATAAATGAGAATTTTTCATCTTTGGCAAATTAAGACTAATTCCTTGTTTACATGTATGTGTGACTCAAGTGAAGGACTAAGGGATCGAATACACATTCTTGTGCACTAGTCAAAGTCCACCACAAAAGATCAATAAGACTGTTCGTCATGATTTACTAAAGTTTAGTAAATATGATTATACTTACAAACTTAAGTATAATTCTAAGACATTGGAAAAGTTTCAATGTATGGCAGAGAGAATGAGAAGAATCAAATTTGGCAGAAGGACAAAAGTCTCTCAAATCTGAAAAGATGGGAGAGCACTTTGAGTATCATGTTTTATGATCATCTTAATGATTATGAGACCTTATCACAATTCATCCTCTAAGTGCATTTTGATGGCTAAGAAGATGAGTCATGAATTATTGAAGTGGTTAAATCAAGAAGATGATTCATACTTCGTTCCAAAACAATTCTTAGAGTCATACTTCGAGATTGTAATATTGAGTGACACATCTTAAAGAAGGTCTATAACACTTGTCAAATGTAAGAATAAAAATGTTTCTATCCTTGTACATTTGAAGTTGGTAAGTTGTGGTGTTTTGGATAAAACAAAGACCAACTAAGGACAATTGTGTGAAGTGTTTGTCTTGATTAGAATCCACACTATCTCTTAAATATTTGGCAAGAGAGTCTTATATGTCAAGTGGACAGTGGGAGTCTAATAAATCCTGAAATAGTTTCTAGAACTAATCAAGAATAAAACCTGTATTTCAACACTAGCACACGACTAGAGTTTTATAACCTATCGTGTTGACATATTGTTATTTCTGTGCCCATTCCAGTTAAAATTGGCTATGCATTTGATTGAGTTCTACATGTTCTCAATTGTTTGCATAACTACTTGGAAGCAATGGTAGGCTTCTCTAAATTCCTTTCTCTCTCTTCTTTCTCTCTCTACTCTCTAGATCTGGACGATTCTCGGTATTGGATTTGATTGTCGTAGCTTCATTTTACTGTGTTTGATCTCTAAATTCAGTGAATCTAGTCCCTAAATTGTTCTATTCAGCTGAAATGATACCTAAGCCTACTGATTTGGTGGCGATTGAAGTGAAATCGAAGAAGGAAGAAGCTGTGAGCCACATCCGCTTGTTGTTGAGGAGTCGGTGTTGATCGCAGCAAGGAATAAGGCAAAGGCAGCTAGTAATGGAAATGTTAACCCTCTTCTTCCTGGAATTGGGAAACCAAACTGGAAGGTGACTGTGAGAAGGGGAGTGAAGTTAGTTCCAAAAGTGGGAAAATGTGATGTAACTGATCAATGGATTTTGATTTGAGCTCGGGGCAGTACTCTGATGGTAAGAATTCTAATCCTACTTCTGATTTCATTTCTAGTGATTTGAATCATAGTTTGGATGTGATGTCTGAAGTTGTCCCTGATGGTAATACTGCGTTTTTATCGAAATTCTAGGAGTTTAGTGAAATTGAAGATGCTAAGGCTAAGATAAGTATGAATATAGGGAATGTTGAGGAGGAAATGCTTAGTGTTAATGCTAGTCTCATGGTTGAAAAGGGAATTGTGAATGATAATAATGTAATTTTGGAGGACAATGTGATAACTAAGGAGGAGGATGAGTTTGTGGAAGGAGTTGGGTTTAAGTTACTTGCAGATCTGAAGAATAAGATGGGGAATGCTAAATCGTCTTTGGATAACAGCAAAGTAGGAATTGAATCCTCTGTTGATGTGGGAGTTGATGTGAGTATGAATGAAGATGGAAGCGGAGATAGTGATCTGAATGGTAATAACAGGGGAAAAGGGCTAATTGATCCTGATCTTGGGATTCATCGAGCTGTGAATTCTAAAGGGTTGCTGAGTAAGGGTTCAGATGAGATTTCTGCTGATGATGGGGGTAAGGATGATGGCAAGGTGAATAATGGTAATATGTCTGGAAGTGGAATGAATAATGATGGAGTAGGGGAAGGTGCTCAGAACAAGATATCTTATGCGAAAATTATAAATGGAAGGGGTACTAGGAAGTGGATTCATATGAAAGTTTTCCATTATGATGGGGAGGCTGAAGATAAACCAGTTGATCTCCCAATTGAAAACATTAGGAATGCTAGTCTTCCATTTGTTCATACTTTGTATGGTTATTTTGTGGGGGCTAAATTGCCATTTCCCTACGCTGAACTATGCGTTGTCCCGTATGTGGAAACATTTTGGTGTTGAAGATATATCAATAAATAAGAGTGGATTTTTCTTCTTTAAGTTTGACGAGGAGTATAATATGAGAATGGTGCTTGATGGTGGACCATGGATGATAAATGATGTGCCACTGTTTCTTCAGAGATGGAGACCAGGTCTTGTTCTTTCGAAGTCAAATCATAATAAGGTGCCAGTGTGGGTGAAAATATATGATTTGCCATTGGAAGCTTAGAGTGGGGAGAATATGTGTAGAATCTTTAGCAAAATTGGAGCGCCCTTATCGTTTGATATGTATACGGAAGACATGTGTATCAATTATAAAGGAAGGAGTGCGTATGCTAGGATGCTTGTGGAGATGTCGGCTGAAAAGAATTGGAAAGACAATGTTGAAGTTAATACATGGGATTCTCTTACCAATTCTGCAGTTTTACAAAAGTTTGAGGTTGAGTATGCTTGGAGACCAGACTTATGCTCTGTGTGTAAGATTTATGGTCATTCTGATCAAAAATGTGTTAAAGCTATTACGGCTGCTAGCCTTAAATCAGGAATTGAGGAGGCTGAGAAAGCTGATAATTCTTTTACGGATGGTATTGTAGATAAAATTGGTGGTGATAATGGCTTTACTATGGTTTCTAAGAAGAATGGGAAGAAAAGTAATAATATGGGGAGTGGTGGTAAATAGACTGGAGGCAACAAGAATAATGGAGGGGTTTTCTATAAACAGGGGAATCAAGGAGGTCAGAGAAATAACTTTGGTAGAAACAATGAAGGGGGATATAAAAGGAAATATACAGGGGGATCTAAAAACTTTAGGGGAAGTGTAAATAGGGAATATAAGGAAAGTGGGAGTAGTGAACAAGGGAAAATGGATATTGGTACTAGTTATTCTATGAACCAACTTGGAGGAAGTGAGAAGGCTGGGAATCAGAATCCTAATGCTGGGGGCAAGATTGGAAAATAAAATAAAGATGTTAATTTTCAAGGTAAGGATAAGTTACCTTTGAATGTTAAAGTTGATGTGACTAGATGTCAAAATTGTTTTGATATTCTGAGCGAATTTATGGATAAAGAGATTGAAAAAGTCTCGAGGAGTGAGGACAATGATGATCTTGATTCTTTCTCTTCGGAGTTCATGGAAGAGATTATTGTGGATGCTAATACTAGTGCTATTAACAAGGGATTGAATGCTCTATGTAAGGGGAATAAGGATGTTACTCAGATAGTTGAGGAGAAAACTATCAACAAACCCAAAGGTGAAAAATGGTGAATATTGGGTTTTGGAATATAAGAGGTTTGGATAAAAGCATTAAGCAAAAGGAGGTTAAGGAGATCATTATTGAAAATGAGATGAATGTGTGTGCAGTTTTGGAATCTCATATTCATGAAAGTAAATTGAAAAGTACTTGTAAGAGTATTTTTGGCAAATGGGAATGGATTTCGAATACGAGTGATTGTTTAGGAGGTACTCGTATTATTATTGGTTGGAATCCGGAGATTATTGACCTAATGGTTTTGAATAAGTCTGATCAAGTGGTTCACTGTATTGGTCGGATCCATGAGTCTGGGAAAGAGTTATACATTTCTTTTGTCTATGGGGCTAATTATCACATTAATAGAAGAGAACTTTGGAAAGATTTATTGAAGCACAAAGTGGTTGTTAAGAATGATTCATGGGTCTTAATGGGGGATTTTAATGTGGCTCTCACCAATTCGGAATACATGATTGATTCTTCAAAGATTAAAAGAGGAGTGGTAGATTTTCAAGAGTGTGTTGATGGAATTGAAATTGTTGATGTCAAGTATACTGGTATGCAGTTTACTTGGTCTAAAACTCCAAAGAGTGGAAAGGGTAACCGGAAGAAATTGGACAGGATTATGGCAAATATGAAATTTATTGATGAGTTCACGAATGCTTATGTTATTTTCAAACCATATAGGGTTTCGGATCACTGTCCTGCGATTTTATATATCCCATTGAACGGGAAGCGTATTATTCCTCCTTTTAAATTTGTGAATTTTATTTCTAGTAAGGAGGAATTTCTTCCTATGGTGAAATCGGCGTGGGAAACTAAGGTGGACGGGTATGTCACGTTTCAAGTTGTGCAAAAACTTAAGTTACTAAAAAAACCTTGCAGGAAGCTGTTTAATTGCTCTGGCAGATTTGGAGTGAAGAAAAAAGAATTGAGGAGTAGAATGGATCAGTTGTAGGCTGCTAGTGATGCTGATCCGTTCAATGATGAAATCAATTGCGAGCTTTCTTGTGTGATGAAGGAATTTTATGATACTTGTTTTGATGAAGAAGGCTTTTTGAAACAGCGATCTAAATTTAAATGGTTGGGAGAAGGAGATAAGAATACTTCTTTTTTTCATAATATCCTTAAATGTAATATTAATCGCCAGAGAGTGGATGCTGTTTTGGATGATGAAGGAAGATGGATTAGAGGGATAGGTTTGATTGATAAATTTGTAGGACATTTCCGGGAATTTTTGGGAATGGATAATAATAGTATGCAGGTTATTCCTAATATGGACACTTTGTTTGAAAAGAAGTTGGACAATAACTTGGCTACTGATATGATTCGTGTTATTACTGATAAAGAAATTCGTGAAGCCATGTTTGACATTGATGATTTGAAAGCTCCTGGTACAGATGGATACTCTTCAAAATTTTATAAGGCTGCTTGGAGTATTGTTGGTAATGATGTTTGCAGGGCAGTGAGGGAGTTTTTCTGGAGTGGGAAATTGCTGAAGGAAGTCAATTCTACAAGGATTATCTTGGTTCCTAAGGTTGATGCTCCTAAGGAGGTTACAGATTACAGGCCAATTGCATGTTGTAACTCTATTTACAAATGCATTAGTAAAATTATAGTTAATCGAATCCGAAGTTGCTTGGGGACCATAATTGATGCAAATCAATAAGCGTTTATTCCGGGAAGGTCGATTTTTGATAATATTTTATTATCGCAAGATCTTATGAAGGGGTATAATTTAAATAAAGGCAGTCCCCGTTGTGCTATGAAGTTCGATATTCAAAAGGCGTATGACACAGTGGATTGGAAGTTTTTGGAATGGGCTTTAATAGGTTTTGGGTTTCACCCGTTCATGATTAATTGGATCATGACTTGTGTTTCTTCCCAAAAGTTCACCATCTGTATTAATGGATTTGATCATGGATTTTTTGAAGGAAAACGTGGTCTAAGACAGGGAGATCCTTTATCCCCTTATTTGTTCACGATTGTAATGGAGGTTTTTAGCTTAATCTTGAGAAGGAAAATATGTGAGAATAGGAATTTTAAATATCATTGGAGATGCCAAAGTCAAAAAATCACTCACTTAAGTTTTGCTGATGACTTGTTAATTTTTTGTCATGGCAATGCTAGTTCTGTTCGTGTGGTTAAAGAGGCGTTGGATGAGTTTAAGTTGGTATCAGGCCTCAGTATAAGCATTCCTAAAAGTTAAATCTTCTTTTGTGGGGTTAAACCGATTATGAGAGGGATGATTTTGGGGATTCTTCCTTTCAAGAGTGGAGTTTTGCCTGTCAGATATCTGGGAGTGCCTTTAACTGCTGGGAAAGCTAGTATTTCAGAGTGCAAAAGCTTGGTTGAAAAGGTGAAGAAGAGGATCTTTAATTAGAAGAACATAATTTTATCTTTTGCAGGAAAATTACAGTTAATCAATTCTGTTCTTGTGACAATTCATGTGTTCTGGGCTTTAGTTTTTTTGATCCCAGTTTATACTTTAAATGAAATTGAAAAGATCTTAAGAGGTTTTTTATGGAGTAGTGGTGAGTTGAAAAAGGGGAATGTGAAAGTCAAATGGAAAGAGGTTTGCATTCCTAAAGATGAAGGTGGGTTGGGAATAAAGAATCTAAAAATATGGAATGTTGCTTTGCTTGCTAAGCATGTGTGGAAATTAGTTAGTGGGAATAATTCCATTTGGGTGAAATGGGCAAAGAAATATCATTTGAAGGATAGAAATTTTTGGGATATTTTGAACAAGCATAATATGAGTTGGACTTGGAAAAGATTTTTGAACATAAGACAATACATAAGGAAGCATTTCTTTTATGTAGTTTGAGTAGGTGATAGTATTTTAGCTTGGCATGACTGGTGGCATCCGAAAGGCATTTTAAGTGAGATAATATCTAGAAGGATGATCAGAGAAGCTGGGTATAGTGATAGCACAAAGGTTGTTGATTTATGTGTGGAGGGATATATTACATGGCCTAATAGTTGGGCAGATTTTAATCAAGAGTTTTTTGAGGATAATATAACTGTTGGGAATCGTAACCAGATGGATAAAATTGTGTGGGTAGATAATAAAGGTAAAAAAGGATTGTTCTCGACTTTTAGTGTTTGGAATGATATAAGGGATGGCAGAGGGAAAGTTGATTGGGAAAAAACTGTTTGCTTTGGTGATAACATTGCAAGCCATGCTTTTATTCTATGGTTGTGATTATTGATAAGCTTAAAACACAGGATAAGATCAATCGTTGGGATAACAGGAACAATTTGGTTTGTGTTTTTTGTAAACCTAAAGAAGATTCAGTAAAACATCTCTTCTTTGAGTGTGGCTTTCCAGGAAAATTATGGAGTTTCTCAAAAGGTAAGGCTGCTATGAGTAATTGTCCTAATAATTGGGATAATGTGCTAAAGTTCTTTGTGGAAAATGTTAAGGGTAAGAGGTTGAATAGTGTTGTCAAATGATTGGTGTTGACTTGCACTATTTACTTCATTTGGAAACAAAGAAATGCTAGAATCTTTAGAAATAGGTTTTCGGATTTTGATACTATTTCCAATGAGATCTGTGGAAGCATTAGGTTGAAATTATTAGGAATGAAGTTACATAAAAGTGGGAACAATGTTGATTTATGCAGGAGTTGGGGTATTGAGATAAATGGAAAAGAAAAAATAGGAGTTAGGCTGGTTGTGTTGGAGATGGATGGTGATTGTAAGTTGTTGATTGGTGAGTGTATTGTACATGTTAATCTGGTGAAATGGAGGTTTTTTTGGATGCAATGATATTATGAGGCAACAGGTGCAAGGATTGGATCCTATTGGGATTTAATAACTTGTGGGGTTGTTTTGTTAAAAGGAATTGACGGTTTTGGTGTTAAAGGAGGATTTTTTTCCTTTAATACCCTTGGTACCTTACAGAGTAATATAAGGAATATGATCTTTTTGAGATTATTCATTTATATTGCTCTGGACACGTGATTGATGCCGTGTCAAGTGAGATACTTGTTTGAATTGACGGATGGGGTTTGGGGAATATTAGGGGTATTTTTGTCTTTTGGGCTTATTTTTTCTTATTCATATTCTGAGTTTTTGGGTGTGTTTATTTACTGGGAAAACGCCAGGTAGTAGAATAGGAATTCAGAGAGATTGGGAATGGGTTCGATTTGAGTTGAAATTCCTGTTTTTGTGTTTTTTTGGTTGTTGGGAAGAAAATTTGACTTGGTATTGGATGGGTAGAATTAGAACTGCCACTATGGGTTTTTTAAGGGTCATGACACTCTGAGTTGTAACAGCAGGGTTAACTGTTGCTTTGGCTGTATGGGGATTAGTTTAGAGTGGTTGATGATACCTTTTTTCCCATGTTTTTATGGTTGTTCTTGTTGCAAGAAAATGTGGCTGATTTGGATGAATTGGTGGAAGATAAGAGATGGTGACTCTATGTTGATGGTATGGAATCTGGGAAGATGGAGGGGCGACTATTTTGCTTTCAATTGGGTTTGGGAATGGACTCGATGCCGATATTTGGATAGGGGATTGGATTGGCATTTGATTTGGCTTTTGGTCTGCTGTGTGTGTTTGGTTTCTAGGGTGTTTGAGACCAAGGGTATTGATTGGTTTTTTATTGTTGTTTTTTGGTTTAGGCTGTGGTATTTGATTTGTAGTAGGAAGTGGTTGTGTTGTTGGCTTTGGATTGGTTGGCATAGATTAGATGAGTTGTTGTTATTTGTTTGACAATTTGATTTTTCCTTGTATTCTTCTTTTTGTTTTAATTTAGTTTTGTCGAGGCTTTGGTCTCTTTCAATAATGGTAGGCTTTGTGCTGCCAAGTGGCAAGGAGTTAAGATTGCACAAGTTCAGTCCATATGAGTTAAGATTAGTCACTAACCTAGTAGTTAGTGATTATGGGTTTGACAAATTCACATGGATAAGAACACATACACCATAAAATCTAAGTATCATAAGGTTTCTCTCCGATTCATGAAAATGATGGTGAGGAAACACTTTCACTAAGTAGATTTTAAGTAGATAGTAATTGTGATATTTGCATACTCAAAGTCATTAGTGGAGCTTGCGTGGTTAACCGACACACTAACATGGAATTATGAGAAATGGCAAAGGTCTAAACAATTGAGACTATGATTACGGCATCCCTTTTCATAGTTTTGAAATTGTTTAGACACACATGTGAGCTATCTAAGATAAGGTGTATGATTTTGATAAAGTAATGTCAAAGCAATCTGTTATCAGAAATCTGAACTTTGGTAAGAAAGTTAATAAAGTATTGACCTCTAAAAGTCCAACTGTTTTCTAGATACATGTCAAAGCTAGTGGGAGCATAAGTGTTATGCTAATAATCATCATGTTAGTGGGAGCATGATAATTATGATACGTATTGCAAGTTAGCAATGTTAATTATAGAAAACAAAAGTTTCAATTCGTGAAGTTGTAGGGGTTGAAAAAGTTGTTTTGCTATAATTAAGGAAGAGGATATACTTCATTTCAGTTCTAAAAGCTTAGATTGAGATTTTAATCATCTTTAGTCAAGGATATATATATATATATATATATATATATATATATATATATATATATATATATATATATATATATATATATATATATATATATATATATATATGAATTTTATGTTGGAATGGTTCAACATAAGAAAATTCTATATATTACGTTCTCAAAATTTGATTATGATTACGGCATCCCTCCTCATAGTCAAGGATATATATATGAGACATCATGAATCGTGTCCCATATGCTTCGGTTATAGGGTCGATTACATGTGCTATAATATTTATCCTTTCTAAATTTTCCAAATGCTTGGGGGCATTAAGAAGGGAAAAGGTCTAGAATTGGATATGACTAAAATGATTAAGCAATTGTCGAGGACAATCTAAGGTTTACCAAAGATTGGTTGCTCAGGGACAGTTGGAAGTATAGTGTTCACTTTGGAAGGACCATATTGACATATTCTGAAAAAAGGAAACTCTTATTTAGAAGTAGTAGTCAAAATGGGAATATGGAGTTGTCTCCATAGGTGGAAGCAATCTGTGTAAGATTAGAAAAACTTAATGCAAGAAGCATGTTCAGAGCAATGTACTTTGAATATGAGACTTCGTTTCATGGAGTTGATCTCCATTGGAATACTCTGTAATGACTGTTGACAAGTCTTTATGACTTTGTGCATTACAAGAGGGTAGTGCATATAAGTTTAAAATCTAACAGATTTCGGTAATGATATGAATTTGGAATTCTTACATTTTTCAATAAGGATTTGGGAGTGTGAAATGAGAATCATTGGAATTATGTTCAATCGATCTATTTCACAAAGTAAGGATCATAAACAAACATAGTGTGCACACTTTGTGTATGGCATAAGTGTTGTTTGGAAAACATAGTGTACATGCTTGGAACATGGGACAACTAGTGTTTTTTAATTCGAGTATAAAGTTGATAAAACCGAAACAATGAATAATGAGTAATTTATATTCATAAGTTCTGAGACCATATTGGATTCAATTATTCTTGTGTTTCACTTTGCATGTTTTGACTTCGAGAATAACTAGGACATTCTTCCAGAATGACTAAGTTATGCAAACCATCCACAGTCGTTAATACATTGGAAGTAGGTATTAAGGCAAGACTGTCATGAGTTGGCTTGTAGATGTCTAAGATGTTGGACATAACAAGAGTTGCTACAACACTCATGGGTTGCACTTCATCGGAACAATTGGATAGACAAAATGAGGAAAAAAGGATACTAGTGATTTATATTAATATATTATAAGTTCTGATATATTAATAAGAAATCATATTATTTAATTAGTATTGATCAAGAATTAATTTAGAATTAATCTAGTGATCAAAAGGAACTAATTAAATATGGACTCTTATATATATATGGTGAACCAAGTTGTGGTGGACCAAGTTCATTTAGGTTGGGCTAAGCTTTCATGGATAGTCCATGGAGTGTTTAACCCATGGATCCTATGGAAATGAAAGGTCATGGGTATTAGGGTTTACATGAATGTAACCCTAATCCTCCATACTATATAAAGAGGGCCTTGGTTCATGAGATGGGCACTAGTGTATAGAAAAGAGGGCATGGGCGATTTCTAAGAGAGAACCTAAGTATCCTTATTCTCTAGTTATTCCAAGTTGGTTTTGGTGATTTGTGATTCCACTTGAGGCTTCCACACTATTGGGGCTA